GCTAAATAAATGAGAAGACTATGGCATTTATAGAAAGTTTTGTTTATGTGGTGTCAAGGAGAAAGAATAGGCCTAGGCTTCTGAAATCATCTTGTTATTATGAATTTCAGTTTCCTTTGTTAAAACAAAAAAGTTGTACTTGACTCTACAGTCCTTTCTAACCTAAAATTCTTTTGTTTCTAAGACTAATAGCTATATAATAATGGGAATTGCTAGCTTATATTTAACACTATGACACTTCAAATTTGTGAGCTTTATTTAACAGTATGATTTAAGTAGTACATAGGTTCCTTGAAATTTCAAGGTCACAGTTTTCCCGAGTGGACCTTTGACTTGATGTATGCATTTAATCCCTGAAGTATGTTGTTGTTGTTTAGTTGCCAAGTAATGTCCGACTCTTTGCGACCCCATGGACTGCAGCACACCAGGCTTCCCTTTCCCTCATCACCTCCTGGAGGTTGGCCAAGTTCATGTCCATTGAATTGGTGATGCCACCCAACCATCTCATCCTCTGTCGTCCTCTTCTCCTTCTGCCTTCAATCTTTCCCAGCATCAGGCTCTTTTTCCAGGAAGTCAGTTGTTCACATCAGGTAGCCAAAGTATTGGAGCTTCAGCATCAGTCCTTCCAATGAGTATTCAGGGTTGATTTCCTTTAGGATTGACTGGTTTGATCTTACTATCCAAGGGACTCTCAAGAGTCTTCTCTAGCACCACAGTTCAAGAGCATCAATTCTCGGTGCTCAGCCTTCTTTATGGTCCAACTCTCACATAGATACATGATTACTGGAAAAACCACAGCCTTGACTATACAGACTTTTGTTGGCAAGGTGATGTCTTTGCTTTTCAACACACTGTCTAGGTTTGTCATAGCTTTCCTTCCAAGAAGCAATTGTCTTCTAATTTCTGGCTGCGGTCACCATCCAGAGATTTTAGAGCCCAAGAAGAAGAAATTTGTCACTGCTTCCATCTGAAGTATATTATCAAGCTAAGAGAATTCTATTACACTCAGATACATCACCTCCTAAGATTTTCAATTTAGTGGAGTTTCCTTGATATTCCTCTGGCTGAATGGCAGCTGTTGTGCTATATTAATTTTATAAAACAGAACCACATTTGTTTCACAAACATCTAGAACATTAATTGTTGGATGATAATAACTCTGAGAGGACTGTTGTTCTCAGAGATCTTGATGACTTTCAAAGCCTGCTAATTTGGATGTGTTACCAAGAAAAGGTAATCCTCTGGGACCAGGCAATGAAGGTGGTATATTTTTTACTTTGCAGGCTACACTGAACCTTTCTTCTTCTGTCCTGCAAACCCCAAGCTCCTTTGAAGCTCATGGCAAAATTAAACATCCTCTCCCTATGCTCACTGCTATCATCTACTGATTTCCGGCTTATTCATTATTACTAGTGACTTTGGCCCCCAATACTAACAGTGTTCCTCTCTACCCCAGCAGTTGTCATGTCCACCACTTCATCATTCAAATGGATGAATCGTTCAATCTCATGGCTTCATTCCCTTCATCTAAGGCAATGAATCTTTGCCTCCACCTCACCTCAGATATCTCCAAGCACTATCTCTTGGCCTTCCAATAATTTAGTCAAATACTCATACTGATAATTCCAGATAGGAAGAGAAATCTAATCTGTTTACTATATTCTCACTCTACTGGTTTCTTTATCCATCCTAGATTTCACAGTGTGTATTTATCATTACTCACTTAAAAAGATGGACTCTTATTACACACTAAATGTTTAGTACCCTACCCAAACTATTAATATGTTGAAATCCTAACTCCCAATGCGAGAGTGTTAGTATGCACAGCCTTTGGGAGGGGATTAGGTCACAAGGGTGGAACCCTTATCAACAGGATAAAATAGAGTCCAGAGAGCTCTCTTTTCCCATCTGCCATATGAGGTCACAGAGAGAAGTCTATGAACCAGGAAGTGGGCCCCTACCAGACTGAATCTTCCGGTGTCTTGATCTGGGACTTGCCAGCCTCCAGAACTGTGAGAAATAAATGTCTGTGGTTTAAGCTACCCAAGCAGTGGTATTCCGTTATAGTTCCTTTCCATCACATCCACTTGGCAAATCTCTAGTTGTGGAAGAACCCAGCTATCCATTTTTACTGTTATCTGTACTCAAGTTGGTGAAAGCTACTAAAGAAAAATCTGAAAACTCAGCTCACCTTAAATTCACCATTATCAATCTCACCTATCAAAGGACAGTCTGTCCATTTCTGACCTGGACACCATCCCTTTTCTCCTTCCAAGCAGCTTTTGTTATGATCTCCTCAGAGACATCTCAACAGGTTCAAAATAAAACAGCTTTTCATACTCAGATCTATTCACATTCATCCAAATTTTCTCCTCTCAGTAAATGATATCATTACCCACCATTTGGGGTTCCCTGGTAGCTGAGGTGGTAAAGAATCCTCCTGCAAAGCAGGATATGTGGGTTCGATCCCTGGGTCAGGAAAATCCCCTAGAGAGGGAATGGCTACCCACTCTAGTATCCTTGCCTGGAAAACCCCATGGGCAGAGGAGCCTGGCAGGTTACAGTCCATGGGGTTGCAAAGAGTCAGACAACACCGAGCAACTAAGCACACACAACCCATCATTTGGTCAAGCCAGAAACCTAGAAGTGAACTTCAGTTCCTTGCTTTCTCTCACCCCTAACGTAAAACCCAACACCAACTTCTGTTTTCCAAAGTATTTCTTAAAAATCTCTCTCCAATGACACCAGCTTAATCCAAGTCTCTCTCATCTTTCACCTGAACTCTGCAGACATTTTCTAATGGGTCTCTCTTATTTCTTCGCTTCTTTCCAAACCATTCTCCAGGTAGCAGCTAAGATTGTCTTAAAATGTAGATCAGATGATATCTTTCACCTCCTTAAAAATCAATGGCCTCGTGTTGCATTTTGAACTACAGTCACCTTCCTGACCTACAGGTTTCCCAGGTGGCGGTGGTAGTGGTAAAGAATCTGCCTGCCAATTCAGCAGACATGGGTTCAATCCCTGGGTCAGGGAGATCCCCTAGAGAAGAAAATGGCAATCCACTCCACTATTCTTGCCTGGAAAATGCCATGGACAGAGGAGCCTGACAGGCTATAGTCCATGGGGCCACAGAGTTGGACACAACTCAGCCCTCACTCACACACCTTTCTGACCTAAATGAACCTGACCTGAAGGCTCTGAATGGACTAGCTAGCCCAGTATAACTCTTCAATATCATCCTGTATGACTGTTCCTCCCTGTGTTCCGGTCTCAGAACCCTTGTCTTGAAGTAGAAAGGACCAATCACTTTCCCATCCTATCAGGCTATCATATCTCTTCAGTAAAATGATTCACTCCAATTTTGTTTTGTTTTGAGCCCCTGTTAAGTTTCCTTTCTTATGGAATTATTCTTTACTCATTACTATTTTCCTGGCCGGAAAATCAGCTCCCTGAGGGTAGAACCATGTTTGTCTTGTCCATCACTCCCTCCACAGTCTCCGACACATAGTACATAAGAACACGGTAAATATTCTTCCTTGTCAAATGCATCCAAAAATGTCATGGACAAAAGAGATGTAATAGGTCTCAGATAAGACCCCTCATTTTGCTGATGAAGGCAGCAAGCCCACAGGCCCAAAGGGGGTGATATATCAATGTCATAGTTAAGTCAATGTCATGGTTACTGACTGAACACAGAATAAATGCATCTCCCCGATGCCCTGACTGTGTTCTTCACTGAAACTGCAGTACTAAAATATAATTATGCTCACTCACTATAAGTCTGTTTTCCATGTCACTAGATAATAAAAGGTGACCTGGATATATAGCCTTTCATTTCCTTTCTGAACAATTTGCTCAATTCATCATTACTGATATTGTCTCACTCCCTCAACACCTCTCCATCCCCTACCCCCTCAAACATCCCCACCCCCAGTCTGACTAGCTAAGACAAAGAAACTAGCCTTTCAAATTATGTTTCTAAATATCCTGCAAAATCTCTAGGATGGGTATTTTTCTTCTGAAGAGAAACAGAGACAGCTACTAAAAAACAATAGAGACTTAGAGAAAGAAAAAATAAATAAATGGAGATCAACATGACGAAGAAATAATATAGGTGAAAAAAGTGTGTGGGTGTGGCGGGGATGTGGTTTGCAGAGAACTAAAAAGGTTCCCAGCGCGGGGGTTGTTAGCAGGACTAGAATCCAGTCAGTCAAGAGAGTGGGGGTGGGGCAGGAGTTGAAATTCTACTTCTCCCACTTTCAAGGTGATGAGTGATAATTAACCATGACCTGGAATAAGTTTTTCTATCTAAAAAATGCACTGCCTGAGGAGCAAAACCTGACACCAATCCTTCTCCAAGGCAGTAAGGAAGATAATAATTGGAAATCTCTCGACAAAAATTCTCTTTATCTCTCTGCTCTATTTTAAGAGCGAGATTTTTAGGCCATAATTTTCAACAAGTTTTGGCTGTGGATGAATACAGGGCTTAGATAATTTAGGTCACTCAAAGAAGAGGCCAATTACTTTCTAACACATAATGGCCTAAACACACCACGGCCACATCATTGGGTAATAAACAAAATGACTAGAAAGATATACACGTTCGTAAAGCAGCGCTGCCGGATCTTCAGTGAAATACGCTGCATGAACCTAAAGTGTCTAGAAGAGTATCAGGCAGGCTAAGGTAACCTGTCCGTCCTTTCCCTTCGTTCCCTTGGGCCACATCCTACCTGGGACAGTGTCTCTCCTGGCCTCCTTTCTCTTGGGCCCAACCAACCCCAGGACTTTCTGGGAGCTCGGGGAAGTAGGGGACGGAATCCGTGGAACAGACTCCCTCTCCACTCCCTGCCTCAAGGTACCAGGCGATCAGGAACCCCAGAAGCTCAGAGCGGACGCCGCAGAATTCTGGGAAAGAGGCATGCAGCGCTTGGCACCGACCGCATCTTGACCCCCAACTCTGCAGCCGCCGCCGCGTCTAGCGCTCTCCCCGAAAGACTCACCTCCGCGCCCTCCGCGCCTGGCAGGGGCGGGCCTCGCAGCTCTCGCCAGCAGTGCCGAGTCCCCGGGGGCCTCCCCGGGCTCTAGGGCCTAGGGACCGTGCCTCCGGCTGGCGGCTTGCAGGGTGACTGCAGCTGCGGTCGCGCTCGGGCAGCTTCCCCGCCTCCCCAAGCTGGATCGCGCAGGGCTGGGGAGCACGGGGAGGAGGGAGTGAGAGAGGGAGAAGGGAGGGAGGCGCGCAGAGGCCGCCCTCGCAAGACCCACCGCTAGGGGCTGCGCGCAGGGAGCTCGCAGAGCGCGGAGCGGGACCGGGGACGCCTAGCGAGCTAGGTGGGAGAGCTGAGGCGGCGGGGGAGGAGTCGGAGAGCTGGGAGAGGGTGAGGGGAAGATCTGGGGAGAACCCGGGAGTACGTGGGCCATCAAGAAGTGCAAGCAGAGCGGCGGGGAGTGCCGGCTCTACGGCTCCAGCTTGGCGCTTCCCCCGCCCTCTGCACCTCCTGGGAGCCACCGAGTATCCACCCGTGGCCTGAGCCTCCCTGCAGGGCTCCGCCAGGATTCATTTTGAAGCCGCTTAGAACAGTTGAGCCCACTTTTCTCCTCCATTGCTTGTGTGCTGTACAGCCGCCTTTTCCCGTCTAGATTTTACTTTTAATTACACCCCCGCTTTCCCCACTCCGGTTCCTGACAAGTCTCCAAGAAACTGCGCTTTTTATGCTGTACGTGTTCTTTCCCTCACCTTTACCCACCCAAATCATCTTTTGGCTTGACTGTGTCCTTGGAATAAAATGTTCAGAAATGCCCTTTCATGAACAACATTTAACAACTCCCTGAGCTAGGAGAGAACCCTCAGAGCTGGCGGATCACGTAGCAGTTTGTTAGCTTTGACCTTCACTCTAGCTGGTGGTGCTTGAGCTTGGTGTAGGAGAAAAAGAGGGTTAGGTCTGGAGTGGGGGGCGGGGAACGCAGGTGAGATAGGATACCTGGGTTCCTGGGAAAGCCACGTAACTGCCTAGGCCACAATGGCCTTGAGTGTTCAGAGGACTCCTGAGCGGTAAGGCTACCTTTGGTTTGAGGATTATGTAAATACCAGCCCCCACCCCCAACCCCGCAGATTGCCAAATAGCCAGGTATCCATCTTTTGTGCCGAAGATGCAGGCAGAAGCAAGAGATCTTTATTCTCAAATATCAAATCGATTTACTGAAGATTCTCAAATTTGGGGAATGAGTTTTCATACATCAGTAAACCCCCATTTCAGCAAATTTAAGTTTAAAAAATAATATCTTCCGGTGTTTTATTAACTAGGGGGGGAAAACTCTTGAAGCAGGTCTTGGATCGATTATTGGACACTGCACTTTCCCCTTTGCAGTCTATACTGGGATTAACCTTTGCAAATGCTGCTTTGGAAATACATTCTTTGTTTGACTTAACATGTGCCCCCTCCCCCACAGCCAAATATTAAGTTCAAAAGTTTAGGCATGAGCTACCCGTTAATGATGTGTCATGATGTGGTGACACTGGCAACCGGTAAAATTCTTTCCACGTTGGTAACTGGGAAAAAAATAATTAAATTTTGTATCAATTTTTATTATTTTGTTTCAACACTACTCTGAAGTAATGAAATTCGTATTTTTAACACTTCTATAGGGCAGGTAGAGGAAATTCATGAAACTTAGTAGTTGATCAAGTGTTTAGCTTTCCCATGTTCTTAAAATATAGAATAGCATCATATAACTTCTACAAGGGTTATTAAAAACAAAGGATTTTTAAGTATCCTAAACTATGTTATTGTATCAAACAGGACATATATTTTATGTATTTTTAATAGCTGTCTTAACATGGATTTGAACTATTCAAAAAAACAAGTTATATGTGAAATCGCTTATCCTAAAAGAGAACCAATGAGTCAGTAATTTGCAATTTCCAGAAGACATGTCTACTTGAACTATTAAAATAAGACATTCTCGATGGAAAATCTCATGTCACCAGATGTGTTCCCCAGAATTGTTGGTATTGATGCAAACATGATTCCTTTCAACTTCTTCTTCCACAGTTACTGTCATTTTTACTACAGTTGTCATTTGGAGTTGCAGAGTATAAAAATGATTTCGCAAGATTTTTCCAGGTCATGACATGCTCTCTGAGAAATCCCTTTAGCTCCATGAAGTAGTAATGAATTCCACTGAAATACACAGCAATAAGTTATTAAATGGATTTCTAATGGCCTAAAGATGTTCACACAGTATTTTCTTTGAAGTTATTATACAATTGAATAACTTTAGAGTGGTTATTTCCAAAGTATGTAATTTCAAGCTCTAGTCCCTCAAAATGCTCTTCCAAGTAATACATTCACTACAAAAGTGATTATTGAGTTCCTGCTGTGTTCCTGGCTAAGGCACTTGGAGAATGGTGAAGAACAGACATACTTACCTGTCCCATTAGAACTGATAGTTTGGGGACAATAAATTAGTGAACAAGTAGAAATGAGATTTACACAAATTTGTTTACACAAATAAAATAAGTGTAAATCATGATGAAAATAACAGACTAAAATAACAGATAATAACATATAAATAATATGATGAACTTCTTTATTTTAGAGATTCACAATGCAAATTATTGGGTTAAAGGCTCTGAGAATTTCTACCTAAAAGACATTTCGTTTACTTCTCCCCAACAAATTCCCAAACTTTTTTGAGGACTAAATATTAATGAAATAAAACCATTTTTGTGAAACACTGCTCTCTGAAACCAATAAACATAAAATTCTGTTAATATTACCTTACATTTTCTGTCAATGCATATCATGTACTTTAATAAATTTATATATAGTAAATTTGAAATAGATTGAAAATAAAATTATATACATTTATAAGTACATTAATAAATTTTGGTAGATTTATAAGAATATGTTTCATAGATTTTGTCTGAAGACAAATGATGTAGACACATTTATAAATCTATTAGAATATATGAGTGTATACCTGTTTAAGACATATTTTGTGGCTAACATTGTTTCATGAATGACTTTGCATACATCAATATAGTCCAGATGCTTATAATTTTTAATTGCTATAGTCCATAATATTAGTATAGAAATGTTTTCTTTACTCTGAGCTTTAGAAAAATACATTTTTTTATTCTTTTGCTATTGCAATTAATACTTCCTTAACCTCTTTGAAAAATTTGCTCTTTGCTATAGTAAGTGGAAGGAATATTTCTGATATCAGTATTTTATTAAACATTTAAAATGTATATTTTAAATTATCTACAAAATTTCAGTAAAAGCAGATTTGATTCTGGATCTCATAGATGACCACTTTGTAACCGAGTACAAGTATGCAATTTCAGAATGCATGTTTTTTTGCATTTGTCATGGCATTGGTGCCTAGCAATATCACCCTGTCAAAGTCTAATGAGAGATCTTAGAGCGGAACAATAAAAAGACAATAATCCAATTATAAAATGGACAAATGATTTGAATGTATCTGTGGACTTAGTTTCTAAAAAGACATTCTCTTCAAGTGAAGACCAAATAACATTAATTTGTGCTTTTTCAAGATGTAGTTGACAACTGACAGAAGAGAAAAAAGGGATGGGAGAAATTAGTCACTCTCCAACTCATTTTAATTAAAAATTTATTTTACATAAGTTACAGGTATACAATATAGTGATTCATAATTTTTAAAAGTTGTATTCCATTTATAGTTATTATAAAATATTGGCTATATTCCCTTTGTTGTACAATATATCCTTGTAGCTTATTTTATACCTAATACTTCGTACCTCTTAAGCCCTACCCCTATGTTGCCCCTCTCCTCCCCTCTCCCCACTGGTAATCACTAGTTTTTTTTCTATATCTGTGACTCTGCTTCTTTTTTGTTATACTCACTAGTTTCTTGTATGTTTTAGATTCCACGTATAGGTGATATCATACAGAATTTGTCTTTCCTTCTTTGACTTATTTCACTTAGCATAATGCCCTCCAAGTCCATCATGTTGTTGTGAATGGCAAAATTTCATTCTTTTTTTATGGCTGAGTAGTATTTCTGTGTGTGTACATACAGTGTATATGCCATTTCTTCTTTATCCATTCATCTATTGATGAACACTTAAGTTGCTTCCATGTCTTAGCAATTGTACATAATGTTGCAATGAACATTGGGGTACCTGTACCTTTTCAAGTGCTCATTTTAAGTATGTTAAACCCAGAAGATCTACAGAGGTACAGTCAGTACCACACTCAATTTGCAAGCAGCAATTTAATTTCTGTCCAACAATATCACTTTTCATACTCAATTAATTGTGAAACCCAGGTCCCCATTGACCAGCTATATCTTGATTTCTCATCTATTAAGTGAGTGTAATAGTCTCCAACCTTATAGAGTTCTTGTGGGTGTTAAATGAGTTGCTACATATAAAGTGGCTATTATCCATTAACTAGTATATGTGTTAGATATTATTTAACGAACTTGCACATTTGTTTTGGTTTCATAGTTATACATATGTTCTAATCCTAAGAATTTTACATAAAGTTTTTCATTTGAACTATAATACAAATATATAATTGAAATATGATACAAAACTATAATCATGTAGTTTTTTAAAAAAGAAACTTAAGTCAATAATGTGGCCATTGAGAGTTTTTCTCCCTTCTTTTTTTTAAAAAGGGGTTCATACTTTACTCAAATTTGAGCATCATTAGTCTAGAATAAACTTGGGCTTTTTTTCTCTATGTATACTTTTTAATACATCACAGGTGTCACTCTCTGAGCTCTTAAAAATTAATCAGGAAAAAAAATTAATAAAGAAAACCATACTTAGGTCTAGTTGTCTTGTTAGTAAAGTTTTAGTTCAAATGTGCTTACTCGCTCAGTCATGTCCAACTCTTTGCGACCCCATGAACTGTAGCCCACCAGGCTTTTCTGTCCATGGGGATTCTCCAGGCGAAAATACTGGAGTGGGTTGCCATGCCTTCCTCCAGGGGATCTTCCCAACCCAGGGATTGAACCCAGGTCTCCCACATTGCAGGTGGATTCTTTATCATCTGAGTCACCAGGGAAGCCTTTTAGTTCAAATACTCGTGGATAAAAGGAGGAGGCATGTTGCATGCAAATTTGTAAACTCAGAGTTAGAATGTCTTCAATGATTTAAATAAATCTTTAGCAAGTTGTTTAACCAGTCTTGGCCTTAGTTGGAATGTCTTTGAAATAGAGATTTGCTTTTGGGAATTCCCTGGTTGTGCAGTGGTTAGGACTTGGTGCATTCACTACCATGGCACAGGTTCAGTCCCTGGTTAGAGAATTAAGATACTGCAAGCCATGTAACATAGCCAAAAAACAAAACAGAAAAAAAAGATTGACTTTCAAATCCCTTCAAGGTCTAAAATTTTATGAGCTTTCCAGTATGCCCACTGTTATAGTACGATGTTGTTATTACATCTGGCACTTAATAAAGAAAAGTGCCCTTCAAGGGGCCAAACTTTCATGTGTTATCATTCAGTTGGGAGATTCTCTGGTGGCTTAGTGGGTAAAGAATCTGCTTGCAATTCAGGAGACTCAGCTTCGATCCCTGGCTTGGGAAGATGCCCTGGATGAGGAAATGGCAACCCACTCTAGTATTCTTGCCTAGAGAATCCCTTGGACAGAGGAGCCTGGCAGGGTACAGTCTATGGGGTCACAAAGAGTAGGACACGACTAACACTTTCAGGTGTTTGCTCTGCCCTTTTCTCATTCTCTGCTGTTAGTGTGAATACACAGTTAAATTCTCCAAAGTAGCAGAAGAGAATGTAGTCAGAAGAACAAGTTATAGCAATTACCACCCTTGTGCGGTATCCTGCACAGTGAATCTGGGCTGGCCCCATTTAACACATAAAAGTGCAGTGGTGGTGATGATTTGTGACATCTAAGACTGAGTCACAAAAAGCCTTGTAGCTTCTGTCTTGGTCTCAGAGCTCATGTTATAGGGAAAACAAGTAGCCACTTAAAATTTACTTTAGACAACCATGCAGTGAGGAAACCCAACCTGGCCCCATAGAGAGGCCATGGAAGAGAGAGATGCCTGAAGAGCCTATCCAGTTGAAGTGTGAAATGAAGAAGCCATCTTGGATGTCCAAGGCAAGTCTTCATATAACTTCAGCCTCATCTACTATCTGAGCAAAAGCATGACTCCAGAATGAGAGTCACAAAGCCGAAATAACTTAATTTACAAAACTGTGACAGATAATAAACTGTTTGAAGCTGTCGATTTGGCAGCAATTTGTTATGCAGTGATAGATAAGCTTGTTTAAGGGCCAAAAAAATGCTCATTTCTCTTTTGATCAATTATATCTACTTTACATCCCTTTCATATGAACTCCTTTTTAAAAAAGTATAGCCATATAATTTTTTTAGTAGACAATTTCCTCTTTGTTTCATTAATTAAAAAAAATAATCACAAACACATGGTTTCATGTCATTTCATCATCTTTTTGATGCTCAGTTTAAGATTCATTTTCTGGAAATAATTGAGTCATCATCAACTTTGCCAATCCTGTTATTAATACCCATGAAAGAAACTAGCTTTAAGAAATAAAACATAACTACTGTTTCCATAAACATACATGTTTGACCCTTATGACTATAAAAGGATCAGAGAAGATTAGGAGTGGGAAAGATGTTAAACAGGAGTCCATTTAAATATGTTTTATTATTTTAACATTATATTTAACCTAGGTTATTTATCTTAAAATGCATTTAAGTAAAATTGAAGTGTCCTTTAAGATGTTGAAATTTTATAACTAAATCCAACTATCCCTAAAAAGAGGTTTCCATTTATTTTACTACAAATGTTTTTAGAATTTATAGTGTTTACAAATAACAATGTGTTTTATAATACTTAATTTCATACAGTACCCCAAAATAAATTCTATTTAGGTCAAAGTGTTAAAATTTGAAGTTCTATGTTTTTTAAAAACAGAAGTTGAGGGGAAATATTTCCTGTAAATTTATAAAATTGTTGTCAAATTATTTAAAATAGCTCACACAAATTTAGGCTCCAGTAAATGAACAAAAGAACTGATGGACATTTTAATAAAGAAGAAATAAAATTGCTTAATAAACAGAGACTCTGGGAAAGATACCATCAATGGGCTTTCTATAATCTCTTTTTATTTTCCTGTTCATTAAATTTGAACAATCAAGTACTGTTCTCTAAGCAGCTCACCAAGGGTATTACTATTTAAAGGCCCTTTCTAAAATTTGCAATATGCTTTGTTAAGGCAAAAAGTAAAAGGTAGGTTATTGGCTTAAAAATGCCCAGGACAATAGTTCTCTTATTTTTAATAAGCAATTGTTTAATAAACGAGTCCCCAGGTTTCCAATATTCAATATATGTATATACTGGACCTTATTATTTCCTAGATTATTTTACTGCAGTCAATTTACCCATTTTATGAGCAGCTTAATGTTTTGAGCCATCTTTTCCAGAAGTATGTTGTTAAGAAGATTCGTTTTTGAGAGCTTCCCTGGTGGCTCAGATGGTAAAGAACACGCCTGCAATGCAGGAGACCCAGGGTCAGAAAACCCCCCTGGAGAAGAAAATGGCACCACACTCCAATATTCTCGCCCAGAGAGAATCCCATGGTCAGAGGAGCCTGGTGGGCTACAGGCCATGGGGTCACCTGCAAAGAGTCAGATGACTGAGCCACTTTCATATTTATTTTAAAACAGTGACTAATAACTTTTATTTTTATGTTTTTCAAACTATTAATTTATTCTACAAATATTTATTGAATATTCTTTGTGTGTCTCTCTAAGGGGCTGGGAGACACAGCAACAGACAAAGCAGATCCCCACCGCCATGAAGCTTGCACTGGCATCTAAAATATTTAAATCACAAACTCACCAATGGAGTACAGGTAGTTAAAAAAGAAAAGAATTCCAAGGATTGAGCTGTGGAACTTTCCAGCACGTGGTGGTGAGAGTGATGAAAAGTAAAGGACAAAAGAAATTAAGATACCATTAAGAGATACTTCTAAGGAGGTAAGAGGGAAAGTGGAACTGTTGAGTGCCCCGGAAGCTGAGTGAAAGCAGTATTTCAAGGAAAGGAGAGTACTCAAGGGAGTGTCAGGTGCTTTTATGTGATCAAGTAGGATGAGAAATAAGAACAAGATTTAAAATGTGAAGATCATTGATGACTTACCTCATGGCAGTTGGTTCAGAGAAGGGGAGAACAGAACCTGGAGACAAGTCAAAGAACAGAGCAATCCAAGTATAGACAACTCTTCTTAAGACTTTTTCTGTAAAATAAAGAAGAGAATTGGAGTGATGAGTGGAGGAGAAAACAGGTTCCAGAACCAGGAACAGTTTAAGATAGAAAAAATTGTATCTATATTCTTGTAGGGACAATCCTAAGGAGAGCAGAAGATAGATGATGCATGACAGAGAGTGAAGAATTGCTGGAGCAAGGTCATTGAGAAGGTAAGAGGGGATGGGATTCAGTGCATGAATGGTGGGGCTGGCCTTTGTTGGGAGGATGAATAGTTTATACTCAATGGAAGAAAATACACTATAGATGGGTCTAGATGCAGTGAAGTGGCTAGATGTTCTGGGTGAGTTTGGGGAAGTTCTCTTCTGACTGCTTCTTTTTTCTCAGTGATACAGGGAGCATTTGTCTGCTGAGAGTGAGGATGAGGGAAAATGAAAATTTGAGAGAAAAGGGAAAGGCATACAAAATGGGACAGATAGAAAGCACATAATAAGATAGAAAGAAGTCTAAATATATCAGTAATCACAACTATGAATGGAATAAACTTTCCAATCAAAAGGCAACATTTTTAGACTGGATTGAAACAAACATTTATGCTATTTATACAAGTCAGGTGTAAAATGCAAGAACACAGAAAAACTAAAAATTAAGTATTCAAAAGGGGTACCTGTCAAATGTCAAATAAAAGAAACATGATCTAAATATATTATTACCAGATAAAATGACTTTAAGAAGAGCTACTACTTAATGGTAAAATATTCAGTTCACTAAGAAGGTAAAATAATTCTAAATTTGTATGCCTCTAATAATGTAGCCTGGAAACATAGTATGACAGAATCACAAGGAGATTTTTTAAAGTCTGCCACTGCAGTAAGAGATTTTAACACATTTTTGAGAAATTGAATCTTTAATTAAACTTTTTATAAAGTAAAAAGTAAAAAAGAAGTAAAATCAGGCACAGGAAGCTTTCCTGGTCAGTTATCTAAACATTTAAAGAACAGGACAATCCAAAGAAGCACAAACTCTTCCAGAAAACAAATTGAGAAAGAATGTTTCCCATCCTGTTTTATGAGGTTAGCATAACTCTTGAAACCAAAGTTACTAAAATATGGTACAATTTTATTTTTTTATTAAATAAATGTTTTTAAATGAACAACCTGATTTGCTTGATAGCAAATTTTTAAAAAAGATAATACATCAAAATCATGATTATCTCAGTAGATGCAGAAAAGGCATTCTGCATAACTCTCTATTCATAAAAAAATTCTTAGCAAACAGAATAGAAGGAAACTTTTAAACTGAAATGAAGTTGATTTACAATATTGTGTTAGTTTTGGTTGTACAGCAAAGTGAGTCAGTTATTTATACAGTTCTTTTTTTTCAGATTATTTTCCATTATAGGTTATTACAAGATATTGAATAGTGTCCCTTGTGTTGTACAGTTATTTCTTGCTGCTCCTATGTTTTATATAGAGTAGTGTGTATCTGTTAATCCCATACTCCTAATTTATATACTCCTTTCCCCTTTGGAAACCATAAGTTTCTTTTCTATGTCTGTGAATCTGTTTCTGTTTTATAAACAGATTCATTTGTTTTATTTTTTAGATTCCATGGATAAGTGATATCATACAGTATTTGTATTTCTCTGTCTGACTAGCCTCACTTATTATAATAGTCTCCAGATCCATCCATGTTTCTGAAAGGCAATATTTTATTCTTTTTATGGCTGAGTAACATTCTATTACGTGAATGTATATATATATATATGTATGTGTATATACACACACACACACATACATACAACATCTTCTTTATCCATTAATCTGTTAATGGACACTTAGATTACTTCCATGTCTTGGCACTTGTCAGTAGTTCTGCTGTGAACACTGGAGTGCACATATCATTTTGGATTAGCATTCTCTCTCACCTAAGTATATACTCAAGAGTGGGATTGTTGGATTATATGGTAGCTCTATTTTTAGTGTTTTTAAGGAAGCTCTATACTGTTTTTCATAGTGGTTGCACCAATTTACATTCCCACTAACTGTGTAGGAGGGTTAAAAGGAAACTTTTTTAACCTACCATTGAGCCTGTCCAAAAAATGTGCAGTACTTCCTAACATGGTGTTGAAAGCATATCCTTAAATGATGAACAGGACAAAGATGTCTGCTATCACCATCACTGTTCAACACTGTACCTGTAGTCCTAGCTTGTGTAATAAGGAAAGAAGAAGAAATAAAAGGCAAAATGATTAAAAAGGAGGAAACAAATTATCATTATTCATAGATGAAATACAGTTGACCCTTGAACAACAGTGGGGGCTAACGGGGTTAACAGCGGGGGTTCCACTTCACCACAGTGAGCATCCAAGTATTTATTTACAGTAGGCTCTCTGTATCCATGGTTCCTCATCTATAGGTTTAACTAACTGTGGATCATTCAGTATTATAGCATCTATTTACTTTCTAAAAAATCCACATGTAAGTGGACCTATGCACTTCAAATCCCTGTTGTTCAAGGGTCAACTGTAATTTTACATAGAAAACCTAAGAATCTACAGATACAATATAAGATTTGAGCAGAGGTTAGCAAGATTGCTAGGTAAAAACATCAACATATAAAAGTCAATTGTATTTCTATGCACTGCAACAGTCAGTCAATAATGCAATTAGGAAAGATGCCATTTCTTACAGTGACCCAAAGCACCAAGTATCTGCTAATAGAGTTAATGAAAGGTAAGCAGTCTCTTTTTGGGGAAAAACTTAAAGTGTATTGGAAAAGAAATTAAAAAATATCCAAATGAGCATAAAGACCTTTCATAATCTTGCATAGAAGAACTCAGTATGGTAAAATTGTGATTCTTCCCCAATACATCTATTTTCTCAGTATTATTCTAGTGGTTGTACCATCAGGATTTTTCATGGAACTAGACACATGAGTTCTAAAATTGTCATGGAATAGCAAAAGGTCAAGAAGTCATGAAATTCCCAGAGAAGAAAAGCAATATAAGATGATTTGCCCTTCTAGATATCAAGGCTAATATAAAACCATGAAAATTGTTTAACACAGGGTTAGACAAACAGACTAAGGGAATGAAATGAGAACACTGAAACTGACCCAGGCCCAGAGGAAAAATCTGATATGTGCCAGAGCTTGTATGTCAATAGAAAGGAAGTACTATTGTTTATGTTAATTTATAAAACATTGTGTTATGAAAAAAATGAAATTGTACTTCCTTCCACAAAAATCAAATCTAGGAAAAACAAAAGACTTACTATGAAAGGAAAACTTGAAAATATAGGAAAATATCTTTAAAGACGAAAACATGGGAAAATATCTTTGTAACCTTTGAATATGGATAGATTTTTTAAATAAGACACATATAGGAATGTGAGCCAAAGGAGTAAAAAAATTATCCATTTATACTAACATTTATCATACTCAAAAGGAACCATAGTGGGACTGAAAAATACCACCATTCACTTGTGACAGAATGAAAGTGAAAAGTATCTTAACACTATTTTGAAAATAGCTTTAGATAGGAATACATAGGAACTAAATGATAAAGGAAAACAAGATAATGATAGACCAAAAATTCAGCATACTGCCTACCTCTGAGGATTCAGGTGGGGAGTCTATAACAAGGAAGGGTATCTCTGATACTCTAAGATTTTATTCTTAAGCTGATGTCTGCTACAGAGCAGGAGTGTTCATTTCCTTGAAATGATTTTAACTATGCACATATATTTCATATATATAAATAAAAAAGAAAATACAATTTAAAACACATTTATAGTGTAATACAAATCAATTCAAAATGACAAAGCAATGTTAGAAATACATTGGCTTTCAAATGGAAAGGGAGAGCTTCAGGTATGGTTTGATCCAGAATCCATACCTGCAGCTGGGGAAGAGGGCATCTTCCTTAAGAGCAAATAGACTACACTGGGAAAGGTTAAATGCCAGGATGAAGAACAACTGAGAATGGAAGAATCTAGGCAGGGAAAATTAGTAAATGTCCAGAGCCACAAAACAAATATTTCAGTTAACATTTCTCATCTTCAACTGAACTTTTAAAATCCTTGTTTTTCCTATTTGACTTTTGCTAACCTGGATTTCTAGCTGAAATGAAACATTAAGAGGTATAATAATTTTATAACATCCCTTAATTATTTTGTACATATAACCTTACAACTCATGCTTTAACTTTTTGCTCAAAAGATATTTTGATTCAATAATAAGCACTCTTCTTAAGTGTGGTGGCATTCTGATTGAGAAATAGTACTAGCTTGTTAAAAAAATGACTTGTTAAAAAATAATAATAGTACTAGCTTGTTAAAAAAGCTTTTTAAAATAGTGACTGTTGTACCTGTGCCCTTGTATCCCAGTATATGTATAATATATATACAAGTCATAATTAGGATCATGTTGACTTTGAATATAACTGCAACTTTATGTTATTTATTTAATTTTCATATTTTTCTAGTTTTGAAGCTGCTATTTTAATAGACAACTTTCCCGAGCTAATTATTATTATCAAAGTTTATAATCTCTTTTGAATAATTGTGGATTTAAATAATTTAAAATCTACCTATTAAGTCCAAAAATGTTAAAGAAAATTATTCTTTTTAAAATTTCTTTATTGAAGTATAATTAATTTACAATGTTTTACCAACCTCTGCTGTACAGCCAAGTGACTCAGTTATACACATAAATATATTCTTTTTTGATGTTCTTTTCCATTATGGTTTATCCCAGGAGATTGGATATAGTTCCCTGTGCTATATAGTAGGACCTTGTTTATCCGTTCTAAATGTAATAGTTTGCATTTACCCACCTCAAACTCCCAGGCCATCCCTCTCCCTCCCCCTACTCCTAGGCAACCACAAGCCTGATCTCTATGGCAGCAGAATTATTCTTGATAGCAATCTCTCAAGACTTTAAACAGATTAAATGCTATGTAATTTAATGCTTTGTTCATGATGCAAGGTCATTAGGAATGTAAATTGCTTTGTTATAATTACAATTAATTTCTGATTCAAGTAGCTGTTTGTTTCTGTACTTAAAGGGTGAGTGTGAACTTTCTGTTTTTTGGTCGCTACTCTCCACATGAGCATTAACTTAAAATTATTTATTTATGTATTTATTTTTGGCGGCACTGGGTCTCTGTTGCATTTGCATGGGTTTTCTCTAGTTGTGGGGAGTGGGGGGC